GAAGTTCAAGAAGTAAGTTGCGTAACCAACATGATTCAGCAACAACATTGGCAACTCCACGATATTCAGCCTCGACACTAGACCGGGAAACAGTAGGTTGTCGTTTAGAAGACCAAGAGATTAGATTGTCCCCAAGAAACACACAAAAACCAGATGTAGAGCGACGAGAGTCAGGGCATCCAGCCCAATCAGCATCAGAATAGGCAGTAAGACCAGTGATAGGTGATGCAGAGATGAATAAGCCATGATCAAGTGTACCCTGTAGATAGCGTAGAATACGCTTTAGAGCTTGAAAATGAGGTTCACGAGGATCATGCATAAAAAGGCAGACTTGTTGAACTGCATAAGAGATGTCCGGGCGAGTGAATGTAAGATATTGTAGTGCACCTGCTAAGCTTCGATATAAAGCTGGATCAGCAACATGGGACCATGTAAGAGCACTGAGCTTAGAGGATGTATCAACAGGTGTGGCCACGGGGTTACATTTGGTCATGGTAGCACGAGCCAGAATTTCTTGAGCATACAGTGATTGAGACAAAAATAAGCCTGAGGAGGATTTAGTCGCAGTGAGTCCCAGGAAGTGGTGTAGTTCTCCTAGATTAGTCATGGAGAATTCTTGGTGCATGAGGGCAATAAAGCGATGGAGTAACGCATCAGAAGAAGCCGTGAGAAGAATATCATCCACATATAACAATAGATATGCCATGTCAGACCCAGAGTGATAGACAAACAAAGAAGTGTCACACGTACTGCCTTGGAACCCACAACTAGTAATGAATGTAGCAAAACGCTGAAACCATGCCCTTGGAGCTGTTTGAAAAATTTAAAGTATTTCAAATGAATAAAGTTTACTTGGTTTAATTATTTTGATAACCTTTTAATTTAATTAGATTTTACAAATAAAACATTATTTGTACGGTTTGTGAGCTCTGGAGTTATCATATCATTAATATCCATTTATTTTCATAAGAATACAAAATGTTTATTTTTATTAAAAGGTAAATGTTCCACTCTTGGTTACTAAGCTTTCAAATTAATAATGGCTCAACATAAACGTATGAAACGTTCTTGAGCTTTTATTACTAAAACTCCGTATATGCTTAATTAACTTAGTGGGAGTTGAAGAATTTTTCAACATTAATCTCAACATTAGTGGGATCTTATTGATTAATAATATGAACGTTACTACTCTAACATTTCATCTGATCGAGCATGTAGCAACGTTCATCTCTTTGAGTATATATATGTGCATTCAGCCAAGCTAGTTAAGAAGTTTGTGAGATAAAATTATTTTTGCGTTCAACATCCCCTAATACATTACAACTCTGCTGGATTAATTATATTTTACTCTCGTTGTTCTGTTACCGGCTTACGCCGAAGAGCTCGTTTTATCTTGGGGAAAGATTTTCGCTAGTCGGAAATACTTTCTTGAGGACAGCGTTTACGCGACTCGAGCTATATTATTTTTCTAACAATTTTTTGCAGGTTTATCCGGCGAATTTCCTACAACAATCTCAAGAAAGTATCTGGCGTCGGATATATCTGCACACGTGATGTCACAACGCTGTGATACACCCGCATGGGAAGCCATTTTCAATCGGATAAACGTTCACAAAAGTCTTCTATATATAATGGTTAGTCTCACCACTTTCCTACTTACAATAAGTCATATTTTAACTCCAATTTTTAAGAAAAATGTTAATCGTTTATTTAGTGATAAAATGACAACTATGAAAAACAACAACCCACTAAAATCAAGTTTAAACTTGGTTGGTAGTGATGATAATTTTATTGTGGTTGTTTCTCAAAGTTGTAAAATTAATGATGTGAATGAGTAGGTGGTAGACTCCGGGGCTACCCAGCATATTTGTAAAAACAAAAATGCTTTTACCTCCTATACTATTATGGGAGATGGTGAAGAGCTCGTGTACCTAGCGGACACTAAAACCGTTAAGGTGCATGGAATAGGGAAAGTTCTTCTTAAACTCACATCGGGGAAAACTTTATCACTAAATGATGTGCTTCATGTGCCCGAGATTCGGAATAATTTAGTTTCCGTTTATCTCTTGGGAAAAGTTGGGGTTAAAGTTTCTTTTGGTTGTGATAATTTTGTTATGACAAAAAATGATGTTCTTGTGGGAAATGGCTATTGTAAGAAAGGACTTTATATACTTGGCATTTCTGAAATATTGCATGATAATGCTTCTGTTTATTTAATTGATTCTTATGATGTGTGGCATGCTAGATTGAACATGCAAGTAATTCCTATATTAAAATGCTAAATGGTTGTGGTTTGGTTTCTAGTAAATAAAATGACGCTAGAAAAATGTGATGTTTGTGTTCAATGTAAACAAAAATAAAAAATAAAAATATCATGATTAGAGGTCGTAAAAAAAAAAATTGTCAACCCTATAGATGATTTTTCTACATACACTAAAGTTTATGTTCTTACAAATAAAGATGATTTTTTGATAAATCCTTAGTGTATAAATCTGAGGTGAAAAATCAAGTAAATAAAAATATTAAGAGAGTTAGATTGGATAGAGGGGGGCGAGAATATTTTATTTAATGATTTTGTGAATTTTAGAAGGGCTATGCACCTGTTTTAAATATCTAAAATTGTGGGGGTGCTTAGCTAAAATTCCATTAATTATCTCGTTGAGTTAAAATGAGCTTTATAATTGTTGACTACCTTTGAATAAATTGAAAAAGTGAAGCACATATGGGTTTTTTCTTGTGAACATAGTGTGCTAATGTGTAATACTTTAAGCTATGTAATTGCTAATATTAATGTGATATGTTTGGAGAATGTGTACACACCAAATGATGCATAGTATGATTATTTGTTAATATGTTATTGAAACAAAAACGCTGAATTTTTTGAAAAATGGGTTTCCTTTGAAATTTGAGCACAAGACCGTTGCACCATATAGTGAGTATAATTCATTACAAGAAATGAAACCTTTAACGATGAACCCTCTAGTGATAGTGATCCATTAAAAGAAAATTATTCTTTTAATGATGAACCTTCTCTTTTGAGAAGAAGCAAGAAGCCAATGATAGAGAAATCTTTGGAAATGATTCTTATACATATCTTTTGACTTATTTATAATAATAAAAAATCTTGGGGCCATATAAACTGAAATTGACTCTACTCACAAACTTTTTCCATCAAGTGGATGTTAAAATTGTGTTTTAAATGAAGAGCTAGAGGAAGAAATTATATGGTGCAACCGGAGGGTCATGTGGTTACTAGTCAAGAACACAAATTGTGTAAATCGATTAAATCCTTTTATGGGTTGAAACAAGCTCCAAAACAATGGAATGAAAAATTTGATGAAGTGTTATGAGAAGTAGAAAAGTGTGTTTGCACTAAATGTGAAAAGTTGTGTGCATTATTATTTACTTGTATGTGGAATTGTGGATTATATGTGAACTTTATAGTATGAAAAATTTGGCGGTAGCAAAAGTGATTTTGGCTATGAAAGTCATAAGGAAGGATTATGGTATTATAACTATAATATCTCAAAAGCAGTATGTCGATAAACTTTTAAAGAGGTTGGACATTTCAATGTCATCCCGTGAGTATCCCTTATGACTCTCATATGCACTTAAAAATATAAGAGATGATCTTAAGGCTCAATATGAGTATTCCCAAATTATTGGATGTTTATTACATTTTATAAATTGTATATGAGGCCCAACATAACTTATGTTGTCGGAAGATTGAGCCGATATACTCATAACCCAAGTGGGATCATTGGACTGCGTTGAGGCGGTTATTGAGATATTTGAGAGGTACCATTAATTGTGGTATATTTATTAAGAATTATCCGATGTACTAGAGAGTCACATCGATGTTATATTTTATTGAGAATTATCCGTTGTATTGCCGGGATACAACGACGAAATCTGAGTCGACTCACATGAGATAAATTAAAATAGTGGATATCCATTCACCCTTAATGGTGGTGCAATGATGTTTGAGAATGGAATTATTTCCATTAATTTTGTGAAGGAATTAGCTACTCCTTTGACAGAATCCCTAGGACGAAAAATGATAACCGAAACATCGAAGGAAATGGGACTAGTGTCACTTGAAACGAATGGGGATGGGAACCCAACTTGTGTGATTGGAGATCCCATGAAGCAAGTTCATATGGGTAATAACAAGTCTTCTATTTAGTTCTGCTAGCCTAATTAAAATAGTCCATTTCCATGATGTGAGATATAGGCTAGAAACCGCATTCTTTGAAATGGTGAGCTAAGAGCTCTTAATGATTATCATAGCCCTTAACTTTAGGGTGGTGTGCAAAAGCGGTACACACTTGATGATATCACCTATATGAGTGTGAGGTGGGGCCGCCTCTATGAAGCATGACAAAACTTCTAGAGCACTCATGAACACCAAGCACGCGCATGGCCTTACGGCGCACAACGGCATAATAACGAGAAATTGTGCGGGGTGAGACACGACCGTTAAGACCCTGATTTACCAATAGTAGCTTGTTGGTTTCAAGAAACTATAGGTTTCACCACAAGCTAGGTTTATTAAGACTTAATCGTCTCGGTTTGGTTCATAGTCTACGGACACCAAACTTAAAGTCTCATTCCTTTAATCCAGCAGAAATTTTCTAAACTATTTTTAACATCTAAAAATATTCATTTGAAATATGTGGGGGATTGTTTGAAAAATTTAAAGTATTTCAAATGAATAAAGTTTACTTGGTTTAATTATTTTGATAACCTTTTAATTTAATTAGATTTTACAAATAAAACATTATTTGTACGGTTTGTGAGCTCTGGAGTTATCATATCATTAATATCCATTTATTTTCATAAGAATACAAAATGTTTATTTTTATTAAAAGGTAAATGTTCCACTCTTGGTTACTAAGCTTTCAAATTAATAATGGCTCAACATAAACGTATGAAACGTTCTTGAGCTTTTATTACTAATACTCCGTATATGCTTAATTAACTTAGTGGGAGTTGAAGAATTTTTCAACATTAATCTCAACATTAGTGGGATCTTATTGATTAATAATATATATGAACGTTACTACTCTAACATTTCATCTGATCGAGCATGTAGCAACGTTCATCTCTTTGAGTATATATATGTGCATTCAGCCAAGCTAGTTAAGAAGTTTGTGAGATAAAATTATTTTTGCGTTCAACATCCCCTAATACATTACAACTCTGCTGGATTAATTATATTTTACTCTCGTTGTTCTGTTACCGGCTTACGCCGAAGAGCTCGTTTTATCTTGGGGAAAGATTTTCGCTAGTCGGAAATACTTTCTTGAGGACAGCGTTTACGCGACTCGAGCTATATTATTTTTCTAACAATTTTTTGCAGGTTTATCCGGCGAATTTCCTACAACAGGAGCTTGTTTGAGACCATAAAGAGATTTGCGCAGGCGGCATACATAACTTTGTTTTGTGGAATCAACAAAACCAGGGGGTTGATGCATATAAACTGTCTCACATAGGTCACCATGGAGAAAGGCATTCTTGACATCCAGTTGATGAATAGGCCAATAACGTGATGTAGCAATGGTAAGAACAGTGCGAATGGTGGCAGGTTTGACTACAGGGCTGAATGTGTCAAAGTAATCAATACCAACCTGCTGAGATTTACCGTTAGCAACCAAACGGGCCTTGTACCGCTGAAGAGACCCATCAGAGTGAAATTTGTGCCGGAAGAGCCATATGGAACGGATAACATGAGCACCAGGGGGGCGCAAAACAAGATCCCAAGTCTGAGTTTTTAATAAGGCATTGTACTCATCTTGCATGGCAGCATTCCAGTTAGGGTCTTTAAGGGCATAAAGGTGAGAATGAGGGAGAGGTGAAATGGTTTGGACATTGAGATCAAAGACAGGTTTGGGTTTAAAGATCCCATGAGAAGCACGAGTGACCATAGGATGGGTGGGTCGGGTAGGAGGTTGTGGAGGGGGAGGGTCGCTTGGAGGGGTTGGTGGTGTGGGAGGATTGGGTGGACTGTGTGGGGAGGTAGATGAGGGTGATGTTGGGGTGTTGTGAGATGGGGGTGCGGAAGGATAGGCGAGGCTATCTAAGGGAAGTGTGGTGGAGGATAAAAAATTGTAAGAGGTGGGGGTTGGTGGTGATGGATCTGTAAAAGGAAACACAGATTCATCAAAGGTAACATGGCGAGAGATAATGATTTTTCCAGTAGCTAACTCCAGACATCGATATCCACGATGATTGGGGGGAAGCCAAGAAAGACACAACGAGTTGACCGGGGAGCCATTTTGTGGGGTGTAGTGGCGGTGAGGTTAGGATAACATAGACAACCAAAGGTACGAAGGTGATTATATGTGGGTTGACGATGGTACAAAGCTAGATAAGGCGAGCGGAAGGATAGAATTTTGGTGGGTAGGATGTTATGTAGGTAAACATCCATGTAAAGAGCGTCAACCCAAAAGGTGGAGGGAACGAAAGCATGAATCATAAGAGTACATGTCATGTCATTGATACGACGTATCATACGTTCTGCTTTGCCGTTCTGAGAGGATGTTTGAGGACACGAGAAACGAAACACAAGGCCACGTTCTTTGGCAAAATTGTGAAATAAGGAGTTATCAAATTCACGCCCCAAATCACATTGAAAGGATTTGATTTCTTTTTCAAACTGGGTGCGAACAAAGGAGCTCAGCTCTAAAAATTTGCCAAACACTTGGGACTTGACTTTAAGAGGATATACCCATAAATAGTTAGTAAAATCGTCTAACAAGATAAGATAATATCTAAAACCCATGTTAGAACTGATAGGGCAAGTCCATAAGTCACTGTGAACAATATCAAACGGAGCAATGGTATTAGAGCAAGACGGAAAGAAAGGTAAACGAACATGCTTACTAATTTGACACGAATGACATAATTTGGAGGGATGCTCCTTATTACAAGTAATTAAAGACTGACTACGTAATGAATCTATGACAGCCATGCCGGGATGTCTGAGACGACGATGCCATAATTTAGATGACACAACGGCAAGAGAGAGAGGTTGAGAGACGGGCGCAAATGGTGGATCACTGACGGTAAGAGGGTAGAGCTCCCCGGAACTATTGCATCTCATAACTAGAGTCCCCGAAGTCAACTCCTTCCTAGAAAAGCCAGAGGGATCAAATTCAACAGAAACATTATTGTCAGTGGTGAATTTGTGAACAGATACAAGGTTTTTAATAATGGCAGGAGCAACAAGGGAATTTTTTAGGTATAGGTTTCGGTTGGGAAGAGCTAAAGTTTTGTTGCCACTAGCAATAACTGGAATGCAATTACCATTTCCAACCAAAACAGAATGTACAGTGCTCTTATTAAAAAACATTAGATAAGGTACCTGGATCCGCAGTAAGATGAGTGGTGGCGCCTGTATCCATATAGAAAGAGTCATCATGTGGTTGATTTAGCGTCATTGAGCTATACGCCTCGGCAATATCCTGCGGCTGCAAAGTCTCCGTGGTGAGAGAAATATTATTATTATTATTATTATTATTATTATTATTATTATTATTGTTATTATTATTATTATTATTATTATTATTATTATTATTATTATTATTATTATGGGCTGGCAGATTAGATCCCGATGGAGGTGGGCCTAAGGGTCGGTGGAAAGGAGCTGCCCAATAGGAAGGGGCTGGAGCTGTGGGATATGGGCAAGGAGGTATAGCCTAATATGGAGGCCCAACAGGCCAAGGCTGATAATCAGAAATTAAAGGGGCAGTACATCCAGATGCTTGCCCCGGATGCTTTGCCGCTGAAGAGTTGCCGCTGAAGGTTCCAGATGCTCTTCCGCTGAAGGACCCTTGCGATCTGGATCTTCGCTGGTTGCTGCTGCGATCCTGCTGCAAATTAGGGCCCCGACGACCGGGATTTCCGGGATTGCGAGGCTGTCGAAAGGGCGCAGAGGCGGGCGGACTAGAGGCGTCCAGAAATCGAGTGCCCTGAGAATCGGTAACCGCCAGAGCAGTTGGAGAAGACTGTTGCGACCGACATTGTTCCTCAGTGTGCAGCTGTGTGCGCGCGTTGTCAAAACTCGGCATGGTCTGAGAGATCAAGGAAGCCACGGTGTCGTATTCGGAGGGCAGACCATTGACGAGTTGTATGACCAGCCACTTGTCATCCATCGGAAATTCAAGATCTTTGAGGCGTTCAGACAGAGTTTGAAGCCGGTCATCAACACCATTACAGTCCATGAACTTGAGATTGACACATTGCCGCTCCAGAATCGCAGCTCGAGTCCCTTTGTTGTCCTGAAACAGTGTGCTAAGGCGTTCCCACAAAGCTTGAGTCGTGCTGCTAGATTTCTAAACCGTGAGCATTAAGTCCTTTGTCATGGTGGAAAACATCCATTGATGGACTAAAGCATCGAGTTGTTTTTGAAGAGCTACATCGATGCCGGCAGGAGCGGGAGTTCCTTTGATTAGAAACATCAAATTATGAGCCTCAAGATGTAGTTGAAACAGAAAAACCCAAGAAGAATACTCATTGTCTTTAAGATCGAGAGTAATTGGAATGAGGGATTTGATGTTGTTGAGGGTGAGGGCAGGATGTATGGGTTGTTTAGGAGTGGTGTCGCCAGCCATGGCAGACAGCCCAGGAAAAGGAACGGGTGAATTACTGAGAAAAGTCTGATACCATGAAGGAATATGTATTATTCCATGTCTCGAATCATTACAAAGTATCCCTATATATACAAGAGTGCTGGTGCTAGTAATGGAAACTAGCTACATAAATACAAGAGATATTATGGGGATATTTACACGAGGGATTATAGGGATATAAACTAAACATGGTAACAATATACTTCGTATATGCTATTAGTGTGGGCACGCCAAATCTTCTTTGTTTGTTATCCTGAGAACATAAAAGTTTGACCATCTATCATATCAAGACAGTTGAGTAACAATAGTTGGTTAATCGTATCCAACTCGATCACCATGAGTTCCACAAACTTTATAATTTACTTGACATTACATGCTTCACAAGTGAAAAACATTTAAAATCAGATCCGGTTTAAAGGCATTTGAAATTTATTAAAGCACAAGCAGACATTATCAATAATAATATTGAATACATGATCACCAGCCAACACATGGCATGTTGGCGTGTGAAGAGGGTCACTGCCACTGTGCCACCTAACTGCATTTGCAGGGAGATAGTATTATAGAATTAAAACAACCATTTTACCGTGCTTCTAATATTTTAAAAGGGAAAAGGAACATATATACCCCTAGACTATTAGTGAGGGAACATATATATCCTTATTCTTTTATTTGGAACAAAAAGCTGATTAAACTGAATTTGGGGTACAAATCCACCCTCCCTAACGGTTTAAAACTTTTCCGTCAGATCTAAAATTACTCCACTTAAATTCCATCCTTTCCTTCATCTCTATCGCACTCCTATGGTCAGCGACATCTAGGCTTTTTCATCAAATTTAAGGAGCAACTTGATTCAAGCTTCTATCTTCTTCTCTGTATTTGATATGTCTGCATCGTTCTCGATTCCGTCCAGTAGCTCTCTAAAGCCAATGACTTTCGAGCTTAACCAAGAAGGACAGCGCAAACAATGTTTTTGTGGACAAAAAGCTCCCAGATTCAAATCAGAAACTCAGAGTAACCCTGGACGTCACTTCTACGGTTGTCCAAACTATAGAGTAAGATTTCTTTTCTTTCGCTTGAATCTTTCCTTCCTGGGATATTTATGGTTTTTTGTTTCTATATGTAATTTTTTTCATGTTTTCTGAATCGAAAAATGAATACAAAATTTCCAGGTCAATGGATGCGGATAGTTTGAATGGCATGATGAAGCATTACCGGTTTGGGCTAAATATTTGATAAATGAGTTGAAGTTAGAAAGAAAAGTACTGCAAATGGAGAATAAGAGACCAAAATTTTTAGGAGGCAAAATGAAAGATGAATTGGTAGAACAAGACAACACCTATGGAGTGAATTGCAAAGTTTGAAGAATCATGGTACGCAACAGGGTGGAGCTTGATTGGCAGATAAAGAAAAAATGAAGGAGAAAAAGATAGCTTACTTGTTTGCTATGATTAGTTGGCTGGATTTGACAATTAATGTTCTTACGATTGAGATGTTGAATGATGTTCTTGCCTCCGTTGTTATAGTCTCTGTTAGTATTATTATGAAGTTGTAATTGTATCATGAAGTTGAAGTTGTAGTAATCTATATTGTGTATGTCTATGTTGTTGTTATCTTTATGTTGTTAACTCTACTTACTACTAGAAAAATAGCTTACAGTGACACTTTTATAGTGACACTTTCTGATAAAATGACATTAATGACATTAAAGTGTCACCCTTTTCTAACAAAAATGCTTAAGTATCATGTAGTGACACTTTCATTTTTTACGGAGTATACTTAAAGGCCTGCGTCACTTACGGTAGTATTACTTACGGGCCGGCCTGCTAGAGTTTATTATACGGAGTAATACACTTCGCGTTTTTTCCCTCTCCCGTTTTAGACTTAACACACATCCGCTCAGCTTTCCTTCTTCTTCTATGAACCTTAACTCCTCGATCAATCGGTTTTTGAATCGAATGCCCAGCCCATAGATCTTGTCTGCACCTTTCTTCTTTCGCTCACCATTATCGAACTCGTTGAACATAGTAGCGAAGCAGGTCGTCTCCTCCATCGGGAAACAGATTGTCGCAGCCTTCGCTCCCCTGTTGTCTCCGTTGCCTCCTTCGATTCGTTGACCGTCGTCTCTGTCGCCGTCGCCATCGTCTTAGAAAACCCAAGCATTTCAGACCGCCGCAGTGCCTGTTTAAACTCCTCCTCTCGCACCGACGAACCACTCAAAGGAAATCCATCCGCTGCAACCATCGCTCTGGAGTGCTCACGAAGCTAGAATCCAGGCGCTGATTTCCCATTTTGCCTGAATATCGCCCAGTTCAGCTTCACCTCAGGTCTTGCCGTCTAAATCCACCTGAAAATTTGAGGCTTTCCAGATTGAAATCTTGAGGTATCAACCCTAACTCCTTTTACCTTTCATTTCCCTTGAGATTTTCATTCGCCAATAATCATGATAATATATCCATAATATTGGAATTTACAATGAAAAATTCATGATAATACATCCACACAAATTTTAATTACATTTCATAATATTTCAATTTCAATTCTATACTTAAGCAAAAAACTCTTCAATCAATCCGATCAAATTAATTCAATTATTATAATTTCCTTAATTCAATTATTAAGGAAATTGTTGATAATTTAGTGATCATACGATATGGACCTACTCGATATACTGCTTCAATATATGCAACTCGAGCAAACTTGAAGCCAGTGATGTTTGAGGGCTATCAAGTAG